CTCATGTGATAGAACCCTATCACAGCCCTCCTTTAACAAATCAAAAAATAAAGGAGGAACCTTGTTGCAATCTAACATATCCAAAAAAAAATCACCTTCTAAAGCATGGTTAGCAAAAAAATTAGCCAACACATTACAATTCCTATTCACAAAGAGGAAAAGACTCTTACCAAAACCATCCAAGAAAGAAAAGTCCTCCAAGCCTTCACAATGAATCTTCCGGAACTGCCCATCCATCTCCTTCTTCAAATACTTGATAATATTGAGACTATCACTCTCAATCAAGATACCTTTCGCCTCTAACATCCACTCCATGATAACCATCTTCAAAGAACGGAACGCCAAAAGCTCTAAGAAACCACAATCCCAATGAGTATAAGAGTAACCGAAGGCAAGTAAGAATCTTCCATTAGAATCTCTAAAAACTCCACCAACCCCACCTCTGTTGTTTCTAGAAACGGCAGGGTCAATATTCACTTTAATCCATCCTGGGGGAGGGGGTGCCAAAAAGAAAACAACTGGTCTAGCCGATTAGCACTCCAGTGATCCAAGATCAGATTAAAATTTGTATTAGAGGCATAGTTGATAGCATTAGCTGCTATATATTTTAAGCTAAGCTCTTGGTTACCATGCTTGATCAAGTTTCGACTTTTCCATGACCAATAAATCATAGAACAATAAACCTTTGCAATGAAGACGTTCTCCACAGCTAACCGTCCCAATTTGACTCTACACTTCGAGGCAGAAGAGAAACTAGGAACCGGAAAACCCCATTTATTCAATAACCCAGAAACTTGCTTCACTTTCAAACAACTAGCCATTATGTGCTCTACATTTTCTTCACCTGCACATCCCCTAGGACAGGAATTATGCCCAAGTAGTCTACGGAACATCAAAAATTAATTAGTAGGTAAGGCATTGTTGAAGAGTCTCCACCAAAAGAATTCCACTCTAGAATTCAATTTTAGCCTTTTTAACCACTTCCCATAATCTACCTCCAAGTGTTCCTCATTCTTATAAGACAACGCCATTGCTGTAATACGTTTTCCAAAAAATTTGTAAGCCAATTCCAGTTCATCCTCATCTAACTCAGGGTAAATTGGAGTCAGGGAAATAAGCTCCACCAGGGATTCCCCAAAGAAATCCAATAGAATATCCTTATTCCAAGCTCCATTGGAAAAAAAAAAATTTAATGGGAGGAAAGTCAAAATTACCTACCACAATAAAAGTAGGTCATTTACTTAATCTCCTATCCAGGATCCAAACGTCATCCATGTTATTAATTGTTCTTCCAGAAGCAATCTTCCACCTAGTAATATTATGCAAAAAATGAGCTCTGCTTGACAGGATTTTAAAAGCAACCGAGCTAATACACTTACCAGAGCAATCCCATATTTTCATATCGTATTTGGCTCTTAGAGATTTAACCAACAAGGAGTCATCATTTTTCATCAAGTTCCAAGTCAGCCTTGACCTGAGGGAACCAACAATATTAATCATAGAGCTGACACCTAGACCTCCTTCCTTCCATCTTTTACACAAGTTATCCCAAGCTACATAATGGAGACCATGTAACCCACCTTGCTTATCCCAAATAAAACTTCTACAAGCTTTATCCAAATCCTTCAAGATACTCATTGGAACTAAAGAATGAGTAACAGAGAATACCGGAAGAGCATCTAGCATAGATTTGATCAATACCAGCCTTCCTGCAAGAGAAATAGACTGCTTACCCCAAACGTTTAGCTTGTTGGCAGTCTTTTCCATAATGAAACTGAAATCAGAAGCCACAATCCTTTTAAGAGCCATCTTGATCCCAAGATAATAAAATTCTTTAACAGCCTTGTAATTCCAAATCTTAGAGTTCGCCTTCCTGTTACATTTCTTCACCGACTTCCCATACAAAATCACAGACTTATGTTCATTAACTTTCTGACCCGTACAGTTACCAAAATCTGAAATGATCTTCTTATACTTCTTCATGCATTTAACAGAAGCTTCTGAAAATGAAAGTATGTCATCGGCATACAAAAGGTGGGATATCCATGGAGCATTTCTCGAAATCTTAATGCCCAAATTATTACCATTACAAGACAGATCATCAATCAAAACTTGAGAGAAAAGGATGAAAAGATAAGGAGAGAGACCTTGTCTGAATCCGCTTTTAGCTTTGATACAATCAGTAATCTCACCGTTCACAAAAACAAAAAATTCAGGATTCTCCACACATTCCATAAGAAGATTCCTAAATTTACTTGGAAACCCATAACGATCCAACACCATCCTTAAGGAATCCCAAGCCATACTGTCATAGGCTTGCTCCATATCAATTTTGAGAGCCACCAACCCTTCCTTAGACTTTGAGAATCTGAGTTTATTAAAAAGCTCATGAGCTAATAAAATATGAGAAGATATAGATCTTCCCTTAATAAAGGCAACCTGAACATCAAAAATAAGCCCATTAATAACTCTTAATAGCCTATTCATCAGCATTTTGGCTAATAACTTGTATAAGGTACATCAAAGGCCAATGGGCCGAAAGCTGGCCGGGTTAGCAGGATTAGAAATTTTCGGAATAAGTACTACCAGAGCTTCTTTTCAAGCCAGACAAATCTTCCCTGTTTAAAAAAAATAATTCACAGCCAACCACACTTCATTACCTAACAAATTCCTATAATTTTTGAAGAAAGAATAAGTAGTTTCGTCCATCCCGGGAGAAATATTCCTACTACAATTCTGAATAACTGCATCCAATTCAGACTTATTAAACTCCTTCTGTAACATCATAACCTCTGCCTCAGACAAAACTTTTGAATTAGGAGGCCAGTCATCCAAATTACAACTCCTTCTACGCCACTTATTTTTAAGGAAATCAAGCAAAATACTTTTAATCTCAGCCTGATCTTCTACAAGAACTCCATTACTATTCTTCAGTTCACGAATAGTATTCCCCAATTTCCTGCCATTAGCAATAGAGTGAAAGAAATTGGAATTCAAGTCCATCTCCTGGATCCACTTAACCTTTGCTCTTTGTCGCCACCATGTGTTAATTCTCGCCAATGTCACATTAAAAAGATGGACTTTAGATCTTAACAATAACAGTTTTTCCGTGGATAGCCCCATATTAGAGGATTCTTCAATCTGTAGTATGGCAATATCCTTCTTCAATGATTCTTTAAGCTCCATAAAGTTCTTCAGTTTCGCCTTGCTCCAGTGAAATAGAGCCTTCAACACTCTTTTACATTTAACATTAACAACTTCCATAACATTAAGAAAGATGCGGCAGTCTAAGCCAGACCGGGGAGGTTAAACCCTTCAATGAAGTAGTAGAGAATTTGGCGCTCCATTTATCCAAACCAATAATATGTCCATTGACAAACCATGGACCTCCAGAAATCACCTTCTCCATAGCTTCTCCCGAGAAAAAAGAACATAGAACCCATCCCGATCCAAGGATCGTTAGGTGAAACTTCCCAAATTGAGACCACTGACGTCTCAATTCCCCAGCTATAATTTGAACATGAATTACCTTCCCAAAAACCTTAACAACAATTGAATTCTGGAGCTTCTCCGAATTCTCATTAATTTTAGGTTCAAACAACTTAATAGCTTTCCCATCTTAGGACAGAAACGATTCACCTTTTGGAAGATCAACCTTGATAAACGGACATTTATTCCAAGGATTCCTCACTGGATCAATCTTTCCCAAATTCAAATTCGCAGATGTCTTTTGGACATTCTCACAAACATCCAATGAGCACTGCCCATCTCCTTGGACTGAAGGGTCTTCCTTACCGACCTTCTCAAATCTGTTGACGAACAACTTCAACCCAGACGATGAAGACTCCAAATCTTTCCTACCAAAATCTTGAATAGACGACGAAGATTGCAAAATCTGAGCAACCTGTTTACCTTTACCAGGTACCGGAGTCAAAACCTTATTCAATTCTGCTGTAGATTCCTTGATGACCAAAGCTCCATTACAGCAATTAATCGGAAAATCCTCCCGAACTCCAAGAACCGATCCAAGAAGAGGTGAAGCAGACCTCCCACTAAGATCAACCATTCTCCGGTGACCAGAGAAGGAAGACGAATGGCCGATCAAACCACTCCGGCGTTGCCGCCAGGCCAACAGAAATTCAAACTTTCTTGAAAATAGAGTTTTCTCTCTCTAGAAAAATCGAGATTCTCTCTCTCTAGAAAAACAGTATAATATTGGTGAGGTTTATAATTTAGATCTGAAAAGGGATCCTCCAACTTCAGAATAAAATAAACCTTATCTCATTTTTATAAGGTAGGAGAAGGATCTATGGGAACATAGAAAGTCTTTTCAAAACTCATTTTTATTTTCAAATACCTTTGTAGAATGTTATTAACATCTTTCGAGATGTTATAATATTCTTTTTGTCGTATTTGATCGTAGAAATAACGTATTTTTCAAAACTCATTCTTGCTTCTAAATCCTTCGTAGAATACTATCTTTATATCTTAAGATAATATATTATTCTTGTTGTTGTTTTTGATTGTGATGATGCCAAAGCTTTTAAAATTTTATTTCTCTTTTCAAGCACATCGTATGATATCATGTTTGTCATTCTGGATGATATTTTGCCATTTTGGCTTTGTTAGATTATATAAGTGATATTTTTAAAACCCTGATTTCTCATTGAATCTATTGTAGAATATCGTGTTCGTCTTTCAAGATGGTGCGTTATTCACAATACAATGTTCAATCACAAAATAGGAGAGCACACTGAATCTGTGCGGTGATTTATTTTCATACAACAGCAAGAGGAATGTCTTTTTTGTCACTATTTTTGATATTCTAGTCTCTAGCCAAAAACACAAAGGGAGCTTTATGCTACTCACAAGCTCAAATGAAAAAAGTTAAATAATTTCTAAATCTATATAAAAAAAATCCCCTTAATTTCAATAACTAAATATTGTAAGATTTTTTTGGTAAAATGACTGAGTAATCATTAAAATTAGAAAACCATTCATTTACTATTGCTTACACATTAATATTCCTTTCTTTTCTATCCAAATATTTTACTTCCATGCAAAGTTGTCTTCCTTTTCTCCAAATCTCCGACTCATTCAGAGTACAATAAGCATCATCTTTCATCTTAATCATGTGCCATAAAGTTTAATAATAAATGAAAAAGAACAATCTGAAAAGGTCTAGAACCATTCAACAATCTCATGATGATCACGTCATGCAGCAAATATAGTTAGAAGAATATAGCGTCCCCTCAATAACTTCATACTTCTTCATCTATTTTAATTCCAATGATCTACAACAAGAAGAAAAAAAAAACTATTATTACAATCAAATCACGCGACTTGAAAATATTGCTGCATTAATACTAATGTTAGTTTCTTTAAATTAAGAATCATCAAAAGAATATAATCAAATATTACTTATTACAATTACCCAATTCGAGTATCAAGATCTTTAATTATATAATTGAATCGATAAAAATGACCCAAGGGTCAACACCTGCAATATCACAAATTTAAAATTGCATTATCATCTAGAATATGGCAATAAATAAAGCGTATTAAAAATAAAAATAATAACAACGCAAGTAAAGCCTACCATTTTTTTCTGTATCCCACTTTGCACAAGGCTTCCTCAATTCCCATTGCATTAATATTTCCGCAGTAATCACCATTACCGAGAGGCCACATCATATCAATTTGAGTGCAAATTCCAACAACATCACCATCAAGAGTCACAATTGGCCCTCCACAACGACCCTACAACAACAACAACAACAAGATGAAATAAAAAAAAGTGAAAATCAAATATCATGTTTGATCTAGAGAAATTCAACCAGTAATATCAAAATAGGTCAAGAACCAAATGCAAATTAAGAAAGATGAAAACATATTTCAATAATTCAACTCAGGTCAAGAGAATATAGAATGGAATAATTTTTTGTTCTCCAAAAGGATAAATGCTAGTTAGTGTCAAAACAAGCACGCAGAAAGTAAGAATATGTTTGTCCTATTATTCAATTTCTTGTAAATATACACGCATTTCTATTCAAGCATTTGAGTACCACTAAACACCACAAATTTAAGCATGTTCCACCGCTAACTCTTATTGATATGGCCATATATCAAAATTAAGATGTCGAAATTTTAGAAGCAAATATTCCTTCGGAAAGCATGTAGATTCATCAGTCACAATCCATTTTCTTTCTACTAAAAAAAAAATATAGGAATATAATCATTGAGTCACCAATTAAGCCATGTAATAGCCTAGAATCTTAGTATCCTAAAACCTGATGATAAAACTCATTTCGACCAACTAGATTGCCAAGATTTAGCTTATTAACAATGCTAATAGGGCATAGTTGATAGCATTGATTAGTTCGGGCATTACGTTGGCCTAGAACCAAACCAATTTGACCCAATTTGCAACCTTATAAATAAGGGACTCTTGTAAATGAGATTTTACTTAATAACACCTTGAGTATGTAAGGAAGGATTGTGAGCAAGAGCTTGCCAAGAGCAAGGCAAGAAGACTGGTAAGCTAGCTGCCTACTTCCTCAACCCTTCAGGACAACCATATAATGAATAATTTTTAATGCATTTAGTGATTTTCCTTATATGATAATCATCTTAGTTTACTTTTCATCTGAATGAATGTGAATGTTAACGTATTTACTTTCAATATTATGTCTTTCATGATCATGCATGTCTTGACTATGTTGAAAATAGAAATAAGATACTGAGAGGTGAAATGAGGGAAAATACCAACTCATTGCCTTCAACATTAGTGCATATCAATGTTGTATGATCTCTAGCCTTATGTCGTGTCGATATTGCATTGACTCCAATTAAGGCCCTATCATATCGTCTGACCTTTGTTAGAAAATAAAATGTCACAAAGAAAAAAAAAAGTAACAAAAGAATTGCTTAAATTACTTAAATGTATTATCACTCGTGTTTATTGACTCTGTTATTTCATCTCAAGTTTGCCAACCCTTATTTAAAAAGTTTTGCCCTATTGTCGAGAGGATTAGATCTTGCCTAATAATCCAGGAGCTACTCATCCAAGTATGAACTTAGTAGTATTGTTAGCTTTTCACGACATTGCTAAACCTTGTCAAGTCATTTTACATAAGAATACCTCACTCTTTATTGTTGAGGCTGCTTGGAGGAGAAATCAATTAGTCTAACCAAGCTTAATATAAAGAGTCATTACTTTTTTTTGTTTTTCAATTGTTAGCTAGTGGACTTATTATTATTATATCATGATGTAAAACTCTTTTTTTTCTAACTTTTTATTTCATGCTTCATTATTCTTTCCCTACCATATATCTAGCTCTATTTTCTTCTTCTCATATCACTTTATCTTCTTCTTGATTTAGAGTTGGCTCACTAAGATCAAGATTATCTCAAGCGTATCAACCAAATGAATGATGTATCCAACAAAAGTGGCTTATTGGCAACATGAGAGTTTAGCATTCAATGCTATACAATAGCTTCTCAAGGCCACTTCTATAGCCTTTGAATTGACCAAGCAAGCAAGACACCTTCACAATAGGTCATGGGCAATTCCATCATAGCTCCCTCTATTTTAGTCCCTTGTTCAATAATAGCATTCTATCTACTTGGACTTAGCCTATAACAGAAGGATATTAAAGTCGAAGCATACGCTTGTAGATAATATACCACTTGAGGGAGAATGGGGTAAAATGGTTGACTTAGCATGCATTTATTTAACTTGTCAGATGTCCCAAAATTCAGAATGCACAAATGGAATCTGGAGGATAAGAGCCCAAAAATGATGATAATTGTGTGCCACTGGACAATGCAGTGCACGTTGAAGAAGATAATATTTGAGACTACAGACTTAGACCCAAGTGATGGAAAAAAATTATCAAGAATCAACTCCCGAAATGTTTACGTCTTTCATGATCTTCACAACACATCCAGGCAACATCAATCCTAGATTATTGGTACATGATCTAATAATGCTCGTGCAAGATATAAAAGCAGCATCAAGAATTACCAATATGAATAAACTATAAGGCCTATGTGTTAAGTAATTCTTGAAGTTAAAACCAACCAAACTCTAGGAATGATAGTAATACTGAAGAAAAGAACTGGTTCATATAAATGAAACATTTGTAGGCATGGCTTATCCCTTAGAGAAAGATGACCTTGGAGACCATCGTTTTGATCAAGGCTACATCACATTAATAGATGGCTCAATGGAAATTTTGAAGGTTGTGAAAATCGGATCGGACAACAACAAACCAGAATGAGAGATTCACGGTTCGAACGGGGTTGAACTGGATGATATAATAAATAATAATATTATTAAAAATTAATCAAAATAACATAATGATATCACAATTTAACCTTATAAAAGTTTATAATTCTAAGAATTTAGACTCATAATAATATAAAAGTCTAGCTAAACTGAATGATGTAATAAATATTATAATCATTAAAATAATATCTAAATGATATAATCATATAAATTTGATTAAAAAATAACGAGAATTCATGCATAATATTCTTTTTATAATTCTAAATTTAAATATTTTTCAGTATTTAAATTTATTTTTAATCTAAATTTAATTTCCATATAAGTACATAATTTAATGACATGAATCCTTTAAAAAATTGTTTTAATGCTAGGGCGTCCCCTTGAAGCGACGCGCTGTATAGCAACATTTGCAAGAGGATGTACCTTGGTGTATGCTTTTTGCTAATGATATTCTTCTTGTTGATAAGACTAGAGAGAGTTGAAAGTAAACTTGAATTATGGAGGTCAACATTAGAGACTAAAGGTTTTCGCTTGAGTAGATCTAAAGCGGAATATATGGAGTGTAATTTTAGTAGTAATACACCTAGTGA